CCCCAAAACCCCAAAACCCCAAAACCCCAAAACCCCGTAGAGGTACAGGCGTATTGAAACAGATTTATTCACAATTACTCAGCATCTCATTCATTGATGGTGGACATTTGCATACTTGTTTGGAAGGAATTCTCGAAGCGGACTGACATTAACCTCATGAAATCCTTCATCTTGATCTCTCCATTCTTGGCATGACTGACTTCATTGATGACTTCAGTGAAGACCTGGGTTTCAATGTGCTTGAACTCAGAACCTGCGAGAGTCTCCTTGAGCTGTTTATCGGTGATGAATCCATTTTCATCTATAAAACAAGTTATTTTGTGCTCAGAATTATGTAACTTGCAAGAAGAGGTTTGCGTGATAGTTTTAGTACCAGAAATAGCTCTATAGAGCTATCTGGGCTGAGTTCTAGCTATTTTAGCGATGCTGCTTTCTGAGGATGCGAATAATATGAAATCGGAGGAAACATTATTTATTTGCAAGATTTTATGGAAAATTGATGAAAAAAGTAGGCTTAGTGTTTGTTTAAGCTTTGAAAAGTTGGCTAAAATATTATTGATAGGCTAAGTGGATATTATGATATGACAAGGCTCTAGTTTTATTACTGAGATAGAACATTTTTGAACATTCGGCTTACCTTTGTTAAAGAATTGGAATGCTTTAGCTATTTTTGTGTAATCCTTAGTGATAGTCTCATTAAGAATTGCAGCAATGAATTCGTTGAAGCTCAGAGCTCCATTGTTCTCAGTATCTATGCTTTTCATAATGCCATTGATTAAATTCTTGTCAATATCAGGATAGTTCTTTAATCCAGCTTTAAGTTCTTTCTTAGTAATGTATCCATCTTTATTTGTATCGATACAGTTAAAAAAATCTATTTCCTTCTTTAAGTCTTCGTCTGAAGCTTTCGAGGCAAGGTATCCCATGATAGCTTTCCTAAGTCTTCCTCAGTGTTGGAATCTGACAAGTCTATCAATGAGGATTGTATTTCCTCTAGGAACTGGTGGTGGCTTTTCAGATACCAACCATTCGTGCTTGAGTGCTTCTTTTGGAGTAATCCTATCCTTTTCTTCGGTGATTAGCTTTCAAATTAAGTCCTTTACTTCATCGCTACACTCAGTCTAAATGTTATAATAAATAGTTACCCATATCTCATCATCAAATGAAAAGTCTAGGTTCTTTATCTTGGTCTCAATATCATCCTCTTCATAGCCTTCAAAGGGAGGATATCCAGCAACCATGATATAAAGGATTACTCCTAATGACCAGGTGTCACACGAGTTTGAATAATTTCTTCTAAAGACTTCAGGGGCCATGTAAGGAGTGGTTCCAGCAATGCTTGACATTCTCATTATTCCCATGCTTTCGTCCATTTTGAAGTAACTTCTTGAGATTCCGAAATCGATTAGTTTAACCTTCCAGCTATCACCATGAGAGCAGAGCATGAAATTTTCTGGTTTGAGATCTCTGTGACAAATCCTGTTCTTATGGCAATAGATGACTGCTCCTACCATTTGCTGGAAGAGGTCGCTCGCTATGGTTTCATCGAGAGCACCTTGCTCAACGATGTAATCAAAAAGTTCTCCTCCATCACAGAATTCTTGGACTAGGTAGATAGCATTCTCTCATTCGTAAACTTCGTATAGCTTTATTATATTAGGGTGATCTAGAAGTTTTAGAGATGCAAGCTCATTAAGGAAGTTATTGTATAACCCTTTGCTCTCTTCAGCAATCTCTGACTCATTAAGAGCAGCAAGGGGTTCTTTACGACCTCCTTTAATGTCTCTAAGGTTGATTTGTTTGATGGCACGAATCTCCTTGGTTGATTTCTCAGTAGCTTTGTAGACCACACCGTAGCTTCCTTCTCCTAATGGCTCTGGATCAAAATCGAAATATTTATAAATATCATCTGTTTGATGGGAGATGAAGTACTGCTTCTTAATGAAAAAGTCTTTGTGAAGCTCTTCTTGTTCGATCACCTCTTGCTAAATGAAATTTAATAAACCGATTCAGCCTTATCAAAGATTTTCATAAATTAATAAATTAAAAGTGAGTTGAAGTATGCTTACCTTTTTGGATTCTGTAAAAATTGTAAGATTTCGTTCAGATTTCCGATAATTTGAGGAATGTTTAGTAAATATTCTTTGCTTTAAGAATTTGGAATTTTTAATATAATTGCGTCTTTTTAAAAAATCATTACTTAAAACATAATTTTTCAATAAAATGCTTTCCTGAAGCCACTAAATTCTCTTTTCTAACAACCCCCTATACAAAGGCTTCCTAAGCCCAAATCCCCGACTCCTCATCCCATGCAAGCCTGGGTTACCTTCTTCATCACTGCAGTATATGTCTCCATCGCAGTACACTTTTTCAATAGATCCTGCTTCTGTGGCACCTGTTTTTCCTCTATAAAATTTTAATTCTTCTGCAAGTTTTATGAGATCTAGCTTAAGCTGATTTAGGGTTTGGAAGCGGTCAAATTTAGGTTCAGCAAGAAAATTAGGATTTTGAGTGGGGAATTTGGGACTTACGTAGTGGATTTGGGGAGTTCTGACTCTGAGTGGACTGTATCCATTTTGGGAAATGCTTATAAAATAATAATCAATTGGCAAATTTATACTCGGGGTTTTGGGGTTTTGGGGTTTTGGGGTTTTGGGGTTTTGGGGTTTTGGGG